GTGCGGTGTTTATTTGCTTATTTATTATTTTTCCGACGAACGTCTTTTGTTTGTATATCTCCATATTCTCTAATACGTTTAGGCGTTGTCCTTTGTGCTGTACATGGAGAACTTTGGCTGTCTTTCCTATTTATTGGCGTGCAATGGTTTTCTGCCATATGGTTTGCGAAGTTTGATTCCGGGGTGGTAGAAGGTTTTAGCATTTTTTTTGTTGTAGTCCCTTATACAGTGACGGGCAAAACTGTAACATGGTTTAACACTTTTTGTTTCAACCACCGCTATATTTCCAAGTTCTAACGACTTTCATCCTTTTATTGAATATTCTTGTTGGTACATCCCTACTCCCTCTCTCATAATGATTTGAAGTCAATACAACAACAATAAAAAAACCAGCAGACAAAAATGTAAATTAAGGCAGATGTTACAGTTTTGCACTCACTCTCAGTTTTGCATTTGACAGTTATCTTTTACTTAGTTGGAAGTCAGATGACTTTTTTCTATATTGTATTTTATTGAAGAAGTGATCACCAGTAAATAACATAGTTAATCAGGAACCATAAATGTAAATAATAGATTTACTGCGGAAAGGCGGACCCGTACGAAAAGTGGCAAACAATTTTAGAATTTGCTACTTAAAAATGTTAAGACTTAGAAAAAATATAGCCTAAAGTGTTCCTAAGGACAAAGGAAGTCTGTCAAAATATATTACAGTCCGATATCTTGTGAACTTAGTAGCAAGTAGCGCTGCAGGCACTATTACAGAAGCGCGTAAGGTATTAAACTTTAATGCAAATCAATAGACAGCGAGGCGAAGAATTGCCAAATTGAGCTCAAAGGCATCATAAAGAAGAAAAAAGCAAATTTGATCATAATACATGTTCGAGTGTGGCAGCATTTCGCTGCATCGCACGAAAACCGAACTGTTGCCTATTGGGATATGTTAGGCCGTTCAGAATGCAATAAAAAACATATTTTTAAGTTTCAATTGAAGGTTGTTTGGTCTGACAAGACTAAATTAATCGCTTTCAATCAGATGGCCGGGCATGGTATTGGATCAAAGACCCAAATTAAGCCTAAGCGCATCATGTACTGCAAACTGTGAATCACAGTGGTAGGATCTTAATTGTTTGGGGTTGTATTTCAAAAATTTTATTGGTCCGTTAGTACGCATTATGCGTAAGGAACAGTATCTGTTCATATTTCAACAAAATTTGCAAGATGTAGTCGGAAAATGAGAGTTTCTGCTGAAAAATCACCCAAAACATACTGCATATGTTCGCAAAGACTGGATACGAAAGCAAAAATTTGCTAATTTGCAATGACCACAAACCGCGGACATGAATCTCATCGAATTTGCGAAATCAACTAAAAGCACAGCTTAATATGTATCAAAGTCCGTAAAATCGAGTACATGAGCTGTGAAAGCGAACTAAGGATATACCTCCAGAATTTTTACAAAGATACAAATAAGGTATGCCGAATCACATCCAGGAACTGAAACAGGCAAAAGAGTACTGAACATTGTGTTAGTAGTTCTTTTTTTTTCGTGAAAATTGTTAAAAAGCTCTTAAAAATATATGAGTGCAAAACTGTAACATCTGCCTTAATTTACATTTTTGTCTGCTGGTTTTTTTATTGTTGTTGTATTGACTTCAAATCATTATGAGAGAGGGAGTAGGGATGTACCAACAAGAATATACAGCAAAAGTATGAAAGTCGTTAGAACTTGGAAATATAGCGGTGGCTGAAACAAAAAGTGTTAAACCATGTTACAGTTTTGCTCGTCACTGTATGTTCACGATATCTTGTTTTTATCTTGCGCCCTGTTTGTCCTATGTAACTATGTTGACATTCGCAAGTCAACTTATATACACCTTGCTTGTCTAGTGGGTCTTCCTCGTTTGCACTATTTCGTAGTATCCTCTCCACATTGTCCTTCGTTCTAAACGCTGAATTATTGTTATACTTTTGGAATACCTTAGCCAATTTATATGACGTTTTGCCTGTATAAGTCAAGACTGCCCAAGCCTTTTCATTATTTTCCTTCTTATTTGATTTCTTCTTTATTGTTTCTCTTCTTATCTTGTTTACTAGGCCCTTTCTGTATCCGTTATTTTCCGCGATTGCGTATATCGTATTAAGTTCTTTGCTGTAAGCTTCTTTTTCCAATGGGGTTGGTTCAAGCCTGGTTATTAGATGTTTAAAGGCTGCATTTTTGTGCTGTTGAGGGTGGTTTGAAGTATTGTGTATTATCGTGTCTGTGGCCGTGGGCTTTCTATATATCCCGAATTCGCATTTGTTGGTAACCTTATTTATTTTAATTGTTATGTCCAAATAGTTTATTTTGCCTTCGTTCGGAAAATCGTTCCACATTACATCACACTCCTAACCTGTCGGAAACACCAACAACGAAAATGAGAACATATAAGATCCTTGCGTTGAATTTCAAAAAGTGAGATATCGAATGAAAACGCTTGGCCTCTAGATCAGTGATGGGCACACTAACCCTATCACATTTTGAGCATGTGTTAGTGTCTTTTGCGAGAGCGAACAACTCGGCCATTCAATCGATTACTTCAGCTGAAACGAGGAGGATGTGTGCGCACGAGTCTGGAATTCAAGAAAAGCGCAAGCCGCCCCGCGCCAACCCGCGCCGCGTTCGACGTCGCGCTCGCGTCCCCCGCCCCGGCCCTCCTTTCGCAATTATGTACTGGTGGCATTATAACCGTTTAGAAAAAGGAAAAATGATAAAATAACACTAGTTCACTTCTGAAACTGCTTTTTAATGTCCAAGTAATGGGAATTATTGTGTATGGGGTTATTCCATGCATCCCACCCATAGTGGAATTTACCAGGTGCCACTGCTTTAATTGAAAATTTGCCTATAAAATGTGACTATAAGGCAGCCGAATGTCAGAAAATAAAGCGAGAAAGCCGTTTTATTACTTCATCTGTTTATTGCGACATGGTTCCATGCAAACATTTTAAGGTTTTCCAGCAATGTTTTTAACATATTAAAAAGCATGCAGATATATGCGGAGCAGTTTTTAAAGACGATGCTTTTCCTATATTTTGTTAGACTTTTATAAGTAAAAATATTTTGTGAATATTACTTTCTTCATATGAATTATATCACATTTTTTGTTTAATTCAAGGCCTATCAAACAGGTTTAAAGCATTTGAGCAAAAACAACATTTGCCTGTATTTTGTTGTTGCTTCTGGTATCGAAGGTGCCAAAAACTGTTCTGATTTTTTTCTTCTACATCAAAGCGTGCCATGCGAAATACGAAAAAGGTAAAAAATTTAAATTGAAAAAATTAAAATTGTTGCAACTTTCTTTCTTAGTAAATTGGTTCGCTTCTCGAAGCATTGATCCATCCTGTGTCAGGCCCAGTAATCAGCGGTTGTGCTGCTGAGTTGGGCGAGCTTTCCAAAAGCTGCTATTTAATCGCTGGTTTTGTTATTAAAATGTTTCACATGCAAATAGATTTTAACAATTTAGAATTTTTGTAAGAAGAAATGTAAAATATTTGACATTTTCGAGAACAAATAATTTGAAAAAAATCAAATCAGCTGCTATACTGATATTACCTGTTCAATGTGCCTTGGTTTAATTGTTTTTTGGAATAAACAAAGTTCTTTTTCCTTCTTTCAGTAAACTGTTTTTTTTTTTACAAATAGTATAAATAAGCAATGGAAAATAAGGCAAAATTCAGATTTTGGTATTATTTCCCATTTAAAAGTGAAATAAAGCAAATTTTGCGTTATTGCCGTTTGTGTTATTTCACCCCCCCCGCACTTATTTATGTACATATTCAGCGCATGGCGAAGCCTCGCGCATACATGGCCGGCTAGTTAATTATAAATAACAAAAAAAAAATTATGATAGATCTGGCAACTTCCGATTATTTTGTTTTGCTTTGCTGTTCGTTTTCGTCCCTATAAAACATAAAAAAGTCCATATTTCACACATCGCTTTTAAGGAAGATTTTCCGAATTTGCTGAGGTTTCGGTTTTATCGGGAGTGTCGGGAAAAAATTTTGGTCCCGTCCCGCCCGTCCAATTTGAAATCAGTACCGTGGGTCCCGCGGGTCCCGATATCCCGCGCCCATCTCTACTCTGAATATAAATTCAAAGTTAAACTCTTGTTGGTGGTTAAGTTACCAATCGTTTAACTAAGCACTGTGTGAAAATTATTTTGGCCGCCTAAATCGGTCAAATACCCCTATGTGTGTCGATACGAAATTCCTTTTTCAGTGCACTAATTGTACACAATTTTACGCAATCGCGTAAACTATAAAATTAAAAAAAAAAAAAAACAATGACAAACTTTCTTGTTTTCTAACGGCACCCAAAAAAATTTCATCAAGCGCCTACTTTTTAATAAATCAGAATTTGAAAGTGTGCAGTTTCTTTTCGGTACAGTCTTTAGATTTTAATATGTAGTATTAAGGTATCTACACACCTACGCGATTCTGTCGGTGCGAATCTGTTCTGGCAAAAATCACAACAATGCCGACCATAGGTTTAAATGAGGAACCACACACTTGTACGATTTTGCTGCAGCGATTTATTCAAACATTCACAGTTCTTCTTTTGGTCGTGCCGAAATCGCAGACTTCCGTGTTTTGAGAACGAAAAAGGTCAATGGAAGGATTTTACAATATTAAAACAAAATTGAACGTAAGAAAACAAAACACATTTGATGTAGAAAAGTTAAGAATTTTATTTTTTTTTATAAATACTTTTTGTTTGTCTATAAATTGACAGATTTTGCTGCGATAAAATCGCACAGATGTGTGCGTACTTGCCTTTTCGAAGCAGTAACGTCTGTAGCATCAAAAACGGTGCGGATTCGTTGCGACAGAATCGCGTAGGTGTGTGGATCCTTTACATCCCATACGATATTCGAAAAAATTAAAATTTGAGTTATTGCGTTTTATTATGGAACTCCTCATATCTGTTTTTTATATGCATATCTTATTACTTATACTTACAGATATCCATTAACTAATTACACTTTTGGAACGAAAGAGCCTTTATTTGAAAAAGATCCATCAGTACCCTCTCGGTTTCAGCGTATGCGAGAGGAATTCGATCGTATTGGAATGCGGCGATCTGTGGAAGGCGTTTTGCTAGTTCATGAACATGGATTGCCACATGTATTACTCCTTCAGCTGGGTACAACATTTTTTAAGCTACCCGGTGGTGAGCTCAATGCAGGAGAAGACGAAGTAGAAGGTTTAAAAAGACTTCTGACTGAAGTAAGTTTTCAAATTTAAATAATTTTATCAAGGCGCAATGATAACTAAATGAACAAATTTGTATTTCAAACAAAAACAGTAAAAAATATTATTTGTAGTTAATATAGGGTGATCCAACTAGATCTTTGTTTTTTTTTATTTTAAATAAAGCACTGAACTGGATGTTGGAACCTTTATTATTACCCGAAATAACAATCTCTGACAATTATTATTTTTTTTTTACATAATTTCATTAAAATGTTGACTGAAGAAAGAACACACCGCAAAGACTTATACCGACACATAAAGCGATTTGACACAATCCACTCTATGGCGCAAAATGCATTTTTAGCATTTTAAAAAAATTATAAATTTTTAGGAAGAATCGAAAAACGCTATTTTCAGTGATGAAACAACTTCAATATAGTTGATCCAGATGCCCACCATAAATATTGGAGAGTCCTTTCGACCGAAGATAGTTGAAAATTCCGTGCGAACAACAAAATCGTTCTTCAAGGAACAAAATACCTTCTTTTAGAATAACTAGCTTCAAGTATTGGCCTTAATACCAATGGGGATTTGTAAGATCTACTTCTCAACCAGATTTTTACTTATTCAAAACAGAATGATAACGTGTTGAAACTTAAATAAACCAAACTTCACAAGTAGGAGGATATAATACAAATTTTACTACCAACCAATCAGGTGATCGCTTCTACTACATTAGTCGACAAATTTTGAGGAAATCGTTTTAACCTAAGAAAAAAAATGTTTCCTAAGCTAATTTTGGGTCACTGAACAAGAAAACAATACCCATTCTTTTTTTTAAAGAAGCGTTTTCGAGATTTATTCGAAAAACGTGTTTTTTGGTACCTCTCGCAGTTATTTGTCAATATCTTTTGAAAAAATCATTTAATCGACACAAGCAGCCTACCGTTCAAAAGGTATTGATGTGACCAAAAATATATAACTTGTGCAGATTTAATTAAAAATGATTATTGTTACTAGCGACCAAAATCGAAAAAAGTGGAATTTTCAATCATTTTTGAAAATTTTTTTTTTTGTTAAAAATAAGCATTAAAAATGTGTAATTTTCAAAAATGATTGAAAATTCCACTTTATTCGATTGTGGTCGCTAGTAACAATAATAATTTTTAATTAAATCTGCACAAGTTATATGTTTTAGCAAAGGGCACATCAATACCTTTTGAACGGTAGGCTGTTTGTGTCGATTAAATGATTTTTTCAAAAGATATTGACAAATAACTGCGAGAGTTTCGAAAAAATCTCGAAAACGCTTCTTTCAAAAAAAAAAAAGGGTATTGTTTTCGTGTTCAGTGGTGTTCAGTGACCCGAAATTAGCTTAGAAAACATTTTTTTTCTTAGGTTAAAACGAATTCGTCAAAATTTGTCGACTAAAGTAATAGAAGCGATCGCCTGATTGGTTAACTCTTAACTCGTTACTCGTGTAGTGGTGCTACCACATTTATAATATTTATTTCTACAAGGATTTTATTAAGTATTTAGCCGCCAGGTGGTCGCGTCGGCATTTGATAATAGAAGCGATCACCTGATTGGCTAACTCTTAACTCGTTACTCGTATAGTGGTGCTACCATATTTATAATAATATTAATTTCTACGAGGATTTTATAAAGTATTTAGCCGCCAGGTGGCCGCGTCATTTTATAATAGAAGCGATCACCTGATTGGCTTGTGCTTAAAACTCGTTACCTATAGGATGGCATTGCCATACGTACATTATAATACAGTGGTCGGAAAAATTACAGCCGCCGCACATATTGAGAAGTTTTCACGATTTTTTCTTTATATATTTAAGTTATTTTTTTAATAAAAATATAGTCCATTCTTTCACAAAAACAATATAAATCAAAGGTTCATATTGAAAGGTTGAGCAATATTAAAAAAAAAATTAAACAAACTGGTAGAACTTACTTACTTTTTAGAATTTATCTGCCCTTCGAACATATTTTTTGAGAACAAAATTTGTTTTTAAAGGGCAGATAAATTTTTAGAACTACTTGAGAAAACGACCCTTAGAAAGATTTAGAGTATGCAGTTTTGTAGGAACTCTGATTAAAAAGTAATTACAAAAAAAAAGGAATGTAACAATTTTTTTTTGTTTTTTTTTTCTGGATTTCGCGGAACTTTTTTCGGGACTATTAGGGAACTGTAAACTCTTTATTTGTTGGTAAGTTGGTCGTATCAGAACTGTTCTTGCCGAATAAAGGCTTGCGCGTGAAGTTCGCAAGCGATTTTTGTTTTTTAGCTTTTATTAACAGAACTATTGAAAATTTGATTATGGAACTGTAGAACTATTGCCTTGCTGTCAGGAACTCTGATTAAAAAGTAGCTGTGACAAAAAACGCTTGCTAACTTTACACGAGCCTACTTTTGCGCTTTTTTTGGAAAGGTGTTCTCTGCAAAAGGTGTTCAGACCCCATTCTTTGGCAACACAGAAAGTAGAATTCTACTTACTGAGGGTTATAATCCCTAAGTGCTCGATAACATTAAAAAAACTGGCTGACTTCGTTGTAAAAGTTTATGCACCTTTCTGGTTTCTGGTTCAAAGTCAACCACTAGCAATTTACGGATGTTGTCACGTTTTCAAGTACATAACATGGATTCGTCAATTGCCAGAAAACATTCAAAATATTGTCCGTCCGTTCATAAAAAATAACGCGTACTTTCTACACCCAGAAAATGTTTTGATACCGATGATAACGGATACAGATCCACTCGTACGCTCAGATGGATACACGAGGATCTTAGCAGCCCACAGAGAAACAAATGGATGCGTTAGTCAAATGTTTGGTCCGCAAGTGGATAATTTTATAAATTTCGAGAGTGACAAATATTTCAACGTAATAAATTGGGATAAATTCGAACCGACTGAACCGCCACGCTTGCAGTTCTTCACGAAGCATTACAATATTCCAAGGAAATAATTAAATTACCAGGTTAGCACAATGGAAAAACATTAATTTTTCTTTGCTAAACTTATCTTTTTCGCAGCTTGTCCGTGTCATTCGCAAAACACCTTGCGTTTTGTTCATATAAATAGTTCATGAATCTGCAATGGCGGTCACCGATGAACAACGCATGGGCCACATTTTATCTAAACTCGAGAGCCGACAGAGATACAGCCAGCTTGAATCCCGCCGAAATTTTATGGATTAGAATTTCCGTTACAAAACAATCAAGTCACGAACTGTTGGAGAAAAGTAATAAAAGCTGGTTTTTTCCGTATGGTTGTCCAACTAAAAATAAAATGTGTTTTATTTCGGGTTCTACTGAACTTATTGAAATGCTTCTTTCGCAACAGATTCATGATTTTTGACGGTCTTTAATTTACTGTCATTAGGGCGGTACGTAAGGGTGGTAGCATCTGAGATCTGGTGGGTAAGTACCATAATGGAGCACATGAGGTCAATGAACTTCCGTAGGAAAAACCCCCTCCTCGAGACAATAACATTGGTGTATCACACTTTAAAATCCAACTATAAACGCCGAAGATATGAAGAAAAATGTAATTGGTAGTAATCGTACTAGGGTTGTCAAAAAAAAATAAAAAAAGTTTTTTTAAATGCTTTTCAAAAATACTTCCTATGGGGGGTGTACGGCGAACTTTTTTTCGATACAGTCTAATGTACATACATATCGTCGATGTTTTTGAACAACCGCCCAACGCCCAGGAGAGCAAAAAACTGTTTATTCTTTGAAGGCATTGCCTTGATAGGCGGTATTTTCTCTAGCTATTATTTTACGAACCTGTTGTTTTAATAACGATTTAACGATTTTTATGCGTAAATCTCAATGCCTGGAGTTCAGGGTTACCAAATCTCATATTTGCCACAACGGCGATTTAGGCGGTTTTGCAACTGGTCGATGGGCGGCTTTGCAAAAACATCGACGATATATTTTTTTCAAGTATACAGCATAACTGCTACATGTAAATAGCAAACTATTTTGGGGTGTTAAAAAGTGCTTAGTGGTTTTTTGTTTCTGCGGTACAAACGATTTACTGTCCTCTTTACTTATTTTCTCTGTAAAGACAAAATACATGCATATGTACATACATATGTATATACTAGGGATGTTGCGAATGTGGAATTTTAGACATCCGCGGATGCGAATGCGGATGCGAATATCTAACAGCTAACATCCGCGGATGCGAATGCGAATGCGGATGTCAAGTATTTTTAAGAAACAATTGGAATCTAGCATAATTGCGAGGTCGTTGTTTAAACAGCGCTTACAAGCCAAACCAGATGTGTCAGGTTTTTCTAAAGCTTTTTAAAAATAATTCTTCATTCTCATTCCGTTGGCTGTTTCGAATTTGGGGAATCTGTAACTTCATCAGCATTTTTTGATTGTATTTTTTGTAATTCATGTTTAATACTTTCTTCTGCGACTGGTTTGAAAAATTTGTGCTTATAGCGCGCTAAATAAGTGGATATGAAAAAAAATAATTATTTTCCAGGAATGAAAATTTTGAAAAAAATTCTGTTTTCAAATTCGTGGCTGCCAGCCGAATCGGATCAGATTATTGTTATTTTTTAAAAAAAGCACCCTGTTTTTTATAAGTATTTGAATCTCAGATAGTTACGTAATTCTTATCTTATTAAAGGTCAGACCTATATAGTTTTTTAATTATTGGGCATCGATTCTATTTATAGCGAGACGTTGATCATTTCTGCTGGAAATCCCTATTGAAGGAGCTTACTCTTTGACTTTAAATAGCAAAGAAGGTACAGTTTTACCAAGAAGTTTTTAGTCAAGGATCCAATGTATATCCCTATCACGAAAATTTGGTTAGGAATTACAGTGCACACTTTCTTCTTTTGTGTCTATTAGTTTTTTTAAGATTGGTCCAAAAAATCATAATTATGAAAGAAAGCAATGCAGGTATTTAAAGCACAGAAAAAAAACATTGTTAAAAAGACTATGTTCCCTTCGACGTACGTCAAAGGTCAAGTAGAAGTTGGAACTTGTATGGCTG